GTATATATATGGCAGCAGAGCATCGGCCGTGACGTGGACGCATTGTTACTGTATTGCACTGCACGTACATTAGTAGACACGCACGTTAACCAGCAAGTGATTCTCGGTCGACGCCACATGAACTATTTTTAGCGTACGCTTCGCGCGCGTTTGATCGTTTCCAGCGAAGGCATCCGCAGTAGAGCGGCTGCCGCTTCCGTCAGTCAGCGCGTGGACAATCATCGAGCACAACAAAGCAAAAAGCCTTCTTTTCGGTCAGGAAACAAGCTGTCAAATGTTACCGTTGCCGAGCATAGAAAAAATGCTATTGAAAATTGGTCAGATCGACACACCAGCTAACGGTGTGAAACGCATCGAAATAGATATACTTCTACATATACACACCAATCTAAAGCACACAAAATCCCAGTCGTTACTCGATTCGAGAGGTAGTATGTTTCGCAAACTGTTGCGGAGTAGGCCATTAGCAATCGGCCCATACTCTGTCTTCCAGCAGCAGCACTAGTGACCTCTGCAAAACCGCCCCTTGTTTTACTAGCCACTGTTCCCCCAGAGCCGTTCTGCTATTTCGAGGACTATACTGCTGTTGACGTTGTTCCTGCAGCTGCTATTGGATTGTCGCTTTTACCAGCCTTCGCTGCTACGCTGAATGTCGTAGCGACGTAGCTTTTATAGCAGTGCGCTGCTAGAGGAAGTGGCTGGCCAGCCAGCACCGGCCTCGCCGAGTATGACGCACAGCGACAGTGATACGCCGTGTGGCTGCAGCTACAACGCTGACGGCTATTGCGGCAGCAGCCACAACAGCAGGAACGACAACAACGTAATGCCGGTCTGACGTAATGAAGGAGCCCGCGCGCGCATTGTGAAACAGCGGCGACCCACGAATGATAACTAGTGGTTGCGATAAAGATGGCGGCGGTAGTTGTGACAAGCTGCAGCTGCTCGTCTAGACTGACGCGCAGCGAGTCCCAAATCAGCTCAAAACGAATGAGCTCAGTCCACTTTTTGGTCATGCAGAGTCATATAGGTGGACACGAAAACACTACAAACGAACGTACTTATTGTGCGTTCGTCACTTACTACTACCACGTTCATAGCTATTTATGCCCACTTCTTTTAATTACTGGCACACACTTAAACCCATATGCCCGTAGAATAATGGTATACGCTCTCACAGAATTACACTACTGTCCTAGCGCTCCGGAGTCTTGCTAGCTGGCTTATTGTTAACGCTTTGCGCTGTAACAACGACCCCGTACTTAGGATAGACGTGTAGCACCCACCTCGTAGCTTCATTTCGCTAACGAGGTCAGCCTCAGCACTACACCCAACGGCAACGACAACGACAACAACGACATCCAACGTTACAATAACAACGTTGCTAAGGGCTCAGTACTTCGTCAGTTGATCGGATGATCGGCTGCTCGTTCTTACACACAGCCGCTCCTGCCCCCTGCGTCTCCTGTGCCCTCCTGTTTCCCTAGAGCTCATCATCATCAGCAGTTGTCGCTATCCGAAGCGTTTAACCTTGCTTTTCCGCTCTGCCCTGTTCTTCTAACTGGTTAGTGCAGCCGGAAACACATTGGAATGCCTGTCAAGATAGGGGATGACTCGAAGACTTGTCGTAGAAAGATTATTTGGATAAATGTGACCATTAACATACCATCAACCTTTTAAATGACCTCCACCGGGTGCCCAAAACGTGAAGCATAATGACAGACGCTGCGCTTCGCCGCAGGCCAATAGTGATAAGCAATGCAGTGGTGTAGCATAAATTGCTACTTTTCGTCCATCGGTTTAATCCGAACTTTTCCAATGACCACGCGACAGAAAGCTTTTAATTGGCACATTCATGGCTTATTTTGGTCGATAGTTTGAGCAGTAGATAGATGAAGAGTGCACAAGACACACATGTCTTGGACAGTAACCCGTCTCAATTATCCACTTTAGCCCAAGCAGATAACAAGACACGCATTTATATGACGTGTTGTCTGCGTCGACAAAGAAGACTATCACGATGACGTCGGAGTGCAACCTCTTCTTATGGCCTGTACAGATTCGCTTACCTGCTTATATTGTAGATGATTGCGACGACATCAGTGATGATGATTACTATTATTCCTACTGAGTGGTGCTATTCGACACATAGAGAAGGACAATATCCCGAGGGTCCTTTCGTAATCGAACGCTCAGTTGCCGCAGCTGCCGTCACTTTTTAGCTCTTTTTTAGCGTCTTCGTATCCGTCACTCCTTCTGCCTCTTTCGCTATATTGAGGAAGAGCGATGACTGCGAGCCGAGAGGATTAAACCGAATGGCTAACGAACGCGCGTTTCGTGGATAATGCCGCATTGGCAACTTGCAACGTCCTAAATAAATAGATAAATGTTTCGAGTTTTACGCACTGTCGTTAACCATTGCCTTAGACTGACAATATACTGCCGCTGTTATTATTATTACTATAGTTTCGATCTGGCAATCAGCTAGGGTAGCGGCGACATCAGCGGCTGAAGCAGAAGATGTTGGCACCACGCCGCGCCGTATCGCTGTTGCTGCCTACCGGCTTTTCTGATTCGGCCCGCCTCGTTTTCTGCTGGCAGCTTGCGCCTGTTGTTGTTGTTGGGATTATTCCTGGTTGTCATTATCAGCGGCGTCAAGCATCATCATAATCGTACGCTGTTCGATGGCCCAGGCGGGCGCCTGCGGTCTGTCCCTCTGTCTAGCAGTCGCTGTACATTGCCGACTTCTTTACTGGCGACTTACGTTGGATGCACGATACCTGTATACACCGTGTGTCTGTCTGCGTCTGTGTGTGCAGTGCTCCGACCACGTATGCATACGTGCGCCTGTGAATCTATGCCACGATATTGAAGACGCGCACTGACTTCCTAGTTAACATCAAGCTTTGCTGATGTTTCTGTTGTTCGTGCAGCAGCAGCAGCAGCAGCTGTCTTTGCCGTTGTTAATGATAAACGATGTTAATGGAACGGCTGGCTGAACTGACACCGACCGATTAAATGAATTCGCCATCGTTTCTATGATACAGCATGTTCCGCAGATCACAGTTCGCTCTAGCAGAAATACGGCTAGTAGCCGAAATAACAGCTAGCAGTTACAACGACGATTATAACTCGAATATGCACATACATACATACATACATACATACAACAACTATTACGTACGCCGTCAGCGAGGCCGCCATTACCGTTCATCAGAGGTCGCTGCAGCCATTGCAAACGGCAACAAACAGCAAGAGATGATTACGGCGGTACTGATCCCACCGCAGCCGTCGCCACTGCTGCTGTTATTGCTGCTAATGTTTCGTAGTCGGTTGCCATTCTTCCCGTCGCCGTGCGGTGCCTTGTTGCATCCGGCATTAACGACAACAACAGCAACATTTGTAAAAACAAAAGAACAAACAGAAACAAAGCCCATTCTCCGCGCGGCGACGGCGCTCGTATCGCCTATGGCCCGGCGTCGTGGTCTTTGTGTTATTGCTCCCAACAGCGGCGGCTATGACAACTCTGGCGCGGAGGCCGTCGCAACGGCGACTGTTGGAAATCTAACAATCGAAAGCCACCTTGCTAGCACCACCATGACGACGATGACAACGAAGACTGCCACAATCGAATTGGCTCAGGCTTGTCGTTCCGATGGCTCCGCCGTCACTCGTGGCTTATGGTAACCCTGTCATCATTGTAGGCTCAACTACTCGTGTCGCTGACTTGACGTCGCTGCCTGCGGAGCAAAGACAGCAGCCGCGACGGAGGCCCAAATCACGACGGCTACGAAGACGACGACGATGATTATTATGATGATGCTGATGATTTCATTGCTGCTGCTGCTGCTGATAATCGGATACTTTCTAGCCGGTTGTTGTTATCGTCGTTTCTGCTGCCGCTGTTCAGCCATGCCGCAATGTGCATACACTGTCAAGGCAGCGATCCGACTCTCGTGTCGGCTCCTCGCTACGAGTAACAACAGAAACAACAACGAATCTGCCAACTATCAGCGCAACGGTCATATCGCAGTAAGCATGGCCCCTCCTGCTTCTCTTCAACACCACCATGATCATCATCAACGTGACCCTGATGATTGTCGCGCTGCTCGTGCTAATAACGTTACTGGAAGGACAGGCGGTGGGCAGCGCACTGACGCACGCTCGCAGCGACGTAAGTATGGACAGATATTATTATATACACTCAACGAGACAAAGATCGAGAAACCAGAGTGTATGAAAATATTGATGAGTTTTGATTCTGTGTGTATCCTTGGTGATTCGTGATCTGGTCCATTTATTTTGCCGTCGTAGGCCAAGTCACCGCCCGTCACCAGACCTAGTCAATGTCTCTTTCTGTTAGAACATAGGACTGCTATAATGCTTCTATCTCTAGTTACGTTCGACACAGGTGCTCGAAACGGAAATATCCACATACAGAAATATAATCACTTGCATATTTTCCTATGCAAATATCCATACTTACATTATATGTGTGTGTGCGCGCGCGCATGTGCGTTTGAGCAGAGGACGATATATATATATATATATATATATGCAAACACTGCAATAAGATTAGTGACACATAGTTTGGGCAAACTAATAACTATTCGAGCTGAACGCCAGCAGGGCAGCCGCTCACTCGGCTCTCCTGATGGCAACAATTATGGTTATTTCAGCCAAGACCAAACTGCTTACATTTTCGTTCGGCCACCTTCGGAAGTCCCACTCTCTCAGAGTCTTCTCAAGAAATTCACACGCCGTCTGCTAGACGGCAAATCCCAATATAGTGAATATGTAGAGAACAGTATCATATGATTATAGCATATCATGGGTGCTATCATGTGCTACATACAATAACAGGATTATTTATTTCGCATAGATTAGCAACAGAAACAAAGCGATTGAGACGATTAGCCTGGGTAGCCTCTTGCCTCGGTTCGCTGTTTGGATGACAGTTGATGATGACTGTTTGTTGGGGATGGCGATATCCTTTCGCATACCTGCGAGTCCAGTTGAGTGGACCCGTTGACAGGAGCCTGCTCCTTATCTTCACTCCACATCCTCACTTCGGAGCCAGAAGTGATCCCAGTGGACCACTCTGGACCGTCGTTATCCACGGTGTTTTCTGTTTCTGTGCCGCCGCTGCTACTTCTTCTGCTTCTAGCTTCTTCGTCTTCTCCTGAAGCTCCTGGCTGATGATCGGAATCTATCCTTCTATCTTAGAGCATTGACTCAGCTTCAAGCCGCTACTGCTACACTGTGATGCGTACGTGTTGTCGCGCGCGCAACACCAACAATATCTGTCCTGTCCCGCTTAGATAGAAGCAAGTTGCTTTAGACTGCGTACCGGTTACAGCAGCGTAGATTCTACAAGGGAAGATAGCAAGGAAAGGCTTTCGTTGATTTAAACACGCCAACACCTCGGCTACGGAACTGGGGATGGGTGGACACACACGATCGAATATAATAAGACTAATCAAATGATGAATGGATGAACACACACGAAGCACAAACGACACTACTCCACTCTACGCCGATCGCCTGTGCCAGACCGAGCTCGGCTGTGGCTTTCTCTTGGACCTCTGAGCAGCTCCTCACCACTCTCACAATAACATAAACAGCAAACCACACACTACACCCCAGCACCACGCACGACGTTGTTTTGTTGTGTCGGTCGGATAATTCTTCGGAGCAGCGGCAATAACAGCGGCAGCACCAGCAGCAACGGGTAAAGCACAGTAATATAACAATCGATTCTAACAGAAGGCGAACAGTTATCTCCTCGGCGGCTGAAGCGAGAGCGATCTTAGCAGCAAACACGAACGTTGTGAAATCTACCAAGAATGGTTCTCAGGCATATGAAATGCAGCTGCGGTCAACGGCACGCGCAAATTAGCAATGAATGTGGCAGTCATTCGTTTCAAAGACAACTCGTTCTGACTGATACTGCTTTCGGCTAGTAAGCGAACTTGTGGTAGTACAACAGCTGTAGTGGAAATAGTATTTCAGTTAGGAGGTTTTGCCTGCGCGCTCGAGGAGGTACAGAGCTGAATAGGGGTCGGGGGTTACGGGGGCCAGTGGAGGAATTGCACACTACACTGTTACACTATAGTATTGTATAGCAACATTAGTGGTTGTCGTCATGTCTGTACGTGCAACAAGAACCCGCCGTGCTGTTGCTGCTGCTACTGCTGCAACTGTTATCCTACGCACTTCTGCTACGGCTATCTGCAGCCAGCGAACAGGGTGGAGGTGGTGATTGCGATGCTGTCTCTCTCGCGCAGGGCGCCAGGGAGGGGAATAAGAAACCGAAACCAGTTGGGTCACTCCTCGCTCTCACAGCCGCCTGCTCACTCGTTGGACGTTCACGAAGACGACAGCGGCGGCGGCGGCGGCGGCGGCGGCAACCGCGGAGATGACGGTGACGCGGTTGTTGTTATTATCGTTGTTGTTGTTTTTGTTGCTGTCACCATCACCGTCATCAGTGTCAAAGGCTGCTGTTGCGGCGCTAGCAATGGCATCAGTATTATCCAGAACCTGCAGCCTCTGGCTGATGGTGGCTGTTTTCCACAGTCACTTGCGGTCCTCGCGCCCCACCCTCGCTGGCCTGCTACTCTTTCCCACTATTGGCCTAAGGCCGTGGGCCCTTAGACAGGCTCCCGTTCACCTGCTCAAACGCCTGCCCGCGCTTGCTTGCGAACCACTCCAACTCGAACCTAAACTCTATCGCCCTACCCTCTCCCAAGTCGCTCTATCGAGCCACCGCCTTTGAAGTTCGCGCTCCATTGGAACTCCCTAGAAGCTCAAAGCCCCATCCATAGGAACCCCCAGAACGTTTAGGTATCTCTGCTTTTGTCGCTGCTGTCAGCCCACGGACGGGCTGAACGAACGACCAAGCGACCAAACAACCTACAGCCCCACAGGACTCTCTCTCCATCCTTTCTTTTCCCTTTGCTGTTGCTCGCCATTGCTGCGGCGCTCGTTCCTTATCCTAGGGTTGCTGGTCCCCTTGGTCTGGCTGGCTGGATGACTGGCCAGTGTTCGTGCAGGCCAGAGCATTTCTCGTTCGGCGTCTGTCTCACGACGTAGCGATCGCGAATGCGCAGCTGGATATATGGATATCAAGCGAGGACACACATACACGCACATACAGGCGACAGAAGCAAGGAAAGGGGACGAGTGCGTGTTCAAATACCCGGTATATACCAGTGATAGCAGTAGCTATGGTAGTAGCAGTTACGAAGCAAGAATAGATAGGCTAGTTGGAGGATCTAGTGAGATTCGCGCAATAACGACAGCAACGTAAAAAAACACCGGTACAGCCTGCTGAACAAGATGAGTGATGAGGAACACGAGCCCATAGTAGAATCCTTACCGTGGCCATAACTGACTTCAGCTTGATCGTCGGAGACGATCGACTCACCCTTCGGTGAAACCCGCGAAGTTTCGAGTGATGATGCTGATCCTGCTACTGGTGGTGATTATGATGATGACGACGAGCGAAGAAAAAAGCATTTGTTCTTGTTGACGTTGTTACGTCGAGATATCGTTTTGTATTTTTCCAGAATCGAACAATCAGGAAAACTCACTAGTGACACTGGCTTCTAAATTCTACTTCTAAATGTGTTATTCGCTGATTATATTGCTGTCTTCTACGCCAGGTGTATCTCTCGTAAAGAGTTATCCGAAACAAAAAGGAAGGCAAACGCGACAATGCGCAGATTACACGAATATTTCACTAAATGACAATAACAACGATGACAAAAGCGCCAAGTAGGACATCCACATTATTTAGCTTAACCTGCCTGTTTGCGAGTGCGGCCCACAATATACGACGTTCTATTAAACTTCATTCACATGCGCTTCGCTATCTCTAAAAACAGCAACAAAAACAATGACAACAACAAGCACAAGCACAACAACAATTACGACGGCGGCATGAACAGTAACGAGACGAAGACAACCAGAATTTTATCGACTTTAAACTGAGCGTAGCATTTTCATTAGGCTGTAAGCACTCAGCGGTTCTATTAATCGCCGCCGTTTGGTTACTCAACACTTGTCCGCGTCTCGCTGCGCCTTGGACACGGTCTCAGCGACTCGGCAGCAACGTCAGGTAACAGTGGCTGCTAATCGCCACCACGACTTGGCACTCCAGAAGCATCGAACAGAGAAGTAGATAAACATGCAGACGGCAGGTTGGTTGTTTGCGTCGCCAAGCAAGAGCGGAAAGCATTCACGAACGCTCGTCGTTGTTTGTCACTAATGTTGTTGCAGTTGGTCTCACCCACTTGTGCCAATCATCGATCATCATTCGAACTTAACATTCGATACGTGCAATGCACGCAAGTTGCAGACAGTTAATTGTACACAAAGTAGACACTGGCTGTAGACGGACAACGAGCGACGATGCAGTAGCGACAGCCATTGAATCAACGCTAATATCATACAATTTATTACCCCTACGGCCTCTACTGTTGAACTACATCACAATCGAACGATTATTATCCAGACGCGAACATAAAAGTTCTAATCAACAAATAGCCGTATCAAAACATTGCTTCCCGCACCGTCGACTGGTCGTTTCCAGCTATTTTCGTTCTTCCGTCTGCGCATGGTTCATTTTTACTTCTTCACGAAATAGCCATCGTTCGTTACAGTTTATCGTCTTAGTACGTTCGCTATCTTCACGAGTTTGGCGTGTCTTGCGCAAACTTGTTGTGACCATTAGATTGTTCTATTGCACTGCACATTTTCATGTAATGGTGCTTGGCGCGTCGACCCCACAGCCGTCGCGGAGGCCTCGATGGCACCGGCAATCTCTAAGTTCGTCTCTTCCACACTACAACTTTTGTCCTATTGATTTCGTCAGTTGATTCGCTTTCAGTTGTATGATAACGTGGGAGTGTTTTTCTTTGTTCACTCGCGTGCGTCGTTCCTTTTTTTTCTTTCTTTTCTGTACGTTGACTGATGTCGCTGCTGCCGTGACGCTGCTGCTGCTACTGCTGCTGCCACTGCTGCGGGTGTCGCTGTTCCCGCGGCGACAATGACTGGCACCACTTGTACTAGCGCGGGCAGTAAAGCTGCTGTTACTGCGAAGTACTGTTTCTGGAACTGTAGTCTCCCTGCCTTTGCCCGCTCAGTGTTGGCCTGTTACCATTAGCTAAGGCTTGAGCCAGCGGTGGTGGTGGCAACCGCTGCCAATGGCTGGTGGCAAGAGTGGCTGTTACGACCACTTCCACTTCCACAGCAACGACGACTGCGACGGACGCTGCTGCTGCTGCTACGAGTTCTATAATACAAAAAGTATATTAGTGCGCTGCGACTACATTTCCGTGTGACTGCTACTACCTCCATTAGGTTGGTTTGCAGCCTATTAGCTAGCTAGTCAGCTAGTCGATTCACTTACTATTATTATTATTATTATAACAGGAGAAGCGCCATTTTGGAATCACGCCGTTCTGGCGGCGGCGGCGGCGGCGGCGGCGGCAGCAGCAGCAGCAACAACAGCAGTAGCGATGGCTCATTCTCATTCGTCGGTGGCGGGAGCGGCGGGGGCTGGCGCTCAGCTGGTCACTGTCGTTTTCGTCGTTGTCGGCTTTCCGTTCGCCTCCAGTCCCCTTACGTCTCCTCCTGTCTATGTTACCTTCTACCTTTGCCTATTCTGTCCTGTGCTGGCTTAAGGCTACGGTCCGACGTTGGTCAATACATCTGCTCATCTGCCCTGACTACCCAGCTGGCCGACTAGCTAACGCTCATCGTTTAGCGCTAAGCTACGTTTAGCTACTTAGCTAGTCACGGCGTGCGCCGTGTCGTCAGCGCGCAGATGCGAGGGCCGTTTCGTCAGCCGCACCGTCATGGCGCTGACCCTTTCCTACCTTTCCCATAGCGGCACCAGCACCGCCACGAACAAGCGGTACGACCAGCAACAACAACAGCAGACATAATCTCTACGATGATGATGGTCTGTTGTGTTGTCGTGGCGATGCGATAATGTTGACACGGCAGAATGAAGGCAAACAGCCGGTTAAGGAGTTCAACTTATTGGCGCTTACCACCGGGCAGTGGACACAAAAAAAACGCCCAAATTATTTTCTCCAGCGGCGCCAGCAGCAGTACTATAGCAGCAGTCGCCACCACCGTTTGCTTGCCCATTCCCCAACCCCGGCCAATTCCACTCGCTTCCATATCTTCCCCAGCATGGGGAAAACCAGCGCAAAAGGTGCGCCCGTACTGAAATCTGCGCTGTTTCAATCTATTTCGAAAAACTAATAGACTTATTGTCGCGGTGGTATCAATAACCAAAAGAATGTGAATAGGTATGCTTCTCTAAAATATACCT